TAGACAGGTTGTTGAGTTGCAAAAGATGTTTAGGGACAATGCTTATTTCTAGGGATGTAATGATTCACTCAGCTCATGATGCGATATGATTCATGATACTGATTTCACAAAACTATTTTCTCAGTTCTTTTTTAACAAAATGAGATTTAAGATTTAATTATTAATGAAAAGATGTCCTTTTATTATTTCTCAAACAAAATCCTGCAGAATATCTCAATAGAGATCGCTCCATGTTTGCTAATGTTTTCAGCTCATCTGCTTTTTCTATAGAGAGTGCATGTGCATGGTTGCCAGGTTGGGAAGATTAAGTAAACCACTGGACAGAAAATGTATTGATTTATATAAAAAAAAAAGGTTTGAATGCTGGAAATCTGGTAACTGCAACCATGAAAGCTTGTGGAGGCCAATGCAAGATAACACAAATGTCACATTTAAAAGAAACATTTTAATGGTAACCAGAGGGCAAATATCGCTCTTAATAAATTGAGAACAGAAGAAATTGTGATCCCGAATTGAAATACAACTTATTTGAGTACTATAGACTTCCTTTCAGTGTCTAGTTATGCCAAAAAGCAGGTGTGGGATTTCTGAGGATATTTAGTTCTGCAGTATTGGTCATAATGTAGGGTTATTTAATGAACGACATATAGAAAAAATTAAATAAAATCACCTGCAGAATGCTCCTGTTTTTCTTTTCATCCTGATTTATTGTCTAACATGCCAGTGAACATATCATTCCTCGTAAAGCTCTGTGTGCAGGTTTCTCAGGTGAACTGGGGGAAATAATTCTCCTAGCAGTTCTCAATGTGTGGCTGACCCCTTCTGGCTGAATGCTGAATATTTGCTTTGTGTGAACTGTCTGGACGTGATAGTTTGGTTTGAGAGTTTCAGCTATCATCAGTCCATAAATAATAGCAAGCAAAGACACTGTAATGCACACACACAGAGAAAGAGAGAGGAGAAAGAGCAGTCTTTTGGGAATTTATTGCATGTGGAAAGATAAACTTTTGTAGGTGTGTGTGTGTGTGTGTGTGTGTGTGAGTGTGAGAGTGTGAGTGTGTGAGTGTGAGACTGAATTGGATCTGCAGTCTTTTTTAAAAATTTAAATATGGGGGAAATGTTCCTTTATCTGCTTTTGTGGCCCAATTGAGACACACAGGACAAGTGGCTGCAGTTTTTATGTTCATTTTGGGGTGATTATTACCTAATTTGAGCAGGAAGTTGCAGCAGTCATGCTTGAATTACTCATTTATTGGAACGTTTAGATTTAAGCCACATCTGCACCTCTAATCGGGGTCCGTCCATCTCCGCAGAGCTGCTCTAGGCCCATCATGCACTGAGTCTTTATGACTGGCCACTGTGCACTTTAATTGGCTCTGCTCAGTAAGCGATGTGTCCTGTCCTGTCACGATCGAAGCAATGTTCCAAATAAAGACCGATCCCTAATCAGAGACACTAGAGTCAGAGCTCTGGAATACAGCTGGTGTTCATGTGAACGAGGGAGAAGAACTGTCCTTTATTACTGCAGACCTCTCATCGTGCTCTTCACACCAAGAGGTTATTGATCCCACCATCCCAGATCTCTCTCATAACAAGAGCTCCTGGTGGGATTGGGGTCCTGTCTGTCTCCAGTGCCTCGTGTTTTCCTGTTCAGAGTCACGCATAAGCAGGCAAAAACACAGTAATGACTTTGAAAGTGTTTCAAATCATCAGCTGGAGAACATGTGTGGTTTGGTTCATTCTTTGTTACTACATTTTATAATGTGTAATGGAGTTTATAATGTTGTCTTGTCAGGGTTGGGCAAAATTCAGAAATTTAGTATCAACTTTGAATATTTATAAAATCATAATTAAGACACATTTCTATAATGTAAATATTCAAAACAATATTTTCATGCAGACTCACAAAATGTTAAGCACATAGTTTTTCATACAGGCGTGAAAAGTAATACGAAAATTATTAATAATTATCAACTTATTGTCATTGTTGAAAACAATGAATTTTCAGAATTCAGAATTTTAGAATGAACTTTGAATATTTATACAATATTTAAATTTTAAATATTTTATTTATAAAATATTTAAAATGTAAATATTCGATACATAATATTTTTATGCAGACCCACAAAATGTTAAGCACATAGTTATGTAGTATATAATTAAATTACAAAAAAATATTTAAAAACTAACTTTTGTTTGAATTTCATTCAGTTTCAAATTCTAATTTGAACTACAATTCCGAATTCTGCTTGCCACCTTCAAATTCCCTAAATCTGTTGAACTAAATTTGTTTCTCCCCTGTATTAAGATTCACATCTAATGACATTAACAATGAGTGTTGAATTATGAAACATGTACTTCACTGGAATCACTTACATTGATGACGACTTGGATAACTGAGAATCATCTCTACTGTACATATTGCTTAATTGTCCTTACTTCCACGTACAGTATTTGTACAAGCAGTTTGTTTTATACCTTGAGTAAACAGTGTGTACTAACATTTTACTTGTGACTGTGTACTAATCATTTTCACTAAGCTAATCTAACTCGTTACCCTGGAAGATACTCATAATGTATTACCTGTGAATCTGCCTGTTCTTTAAAACCAAAACAAATAATACTAAAAATTAAAAGTGCACCATTTTGCAAAAATGAAGATTCTATTTTAGAACTATGGCAGTGTATATTATAATTTGTGTGTAATATTTTTAAATGTATAGTTATATTATATTTAGTGAATTTGGAGGAAAATGTGTATTCAATTGCAGTGAAAATAATGTTACAATGAAAATATAAAAAATAGGATTTATTTTATTTTTGCTAAGTGCAGCTTCTTGTTTTTTCTGTAAAGCGTGTCTGATCCTGAAGCTATCTGACATGCGTTTCTGTGGTATTCTACAAATCTGTCAGCTTTAGCATGCTGCGACCTGTCTGTTGGCAAAGAGCATTTATGCGTGTGTGTGTGTGTGTGTGTGTGTGTGTGTGTGTGCGGTCAGAATTCGAGAGAAAGAGAAAGGACTGGATGTGTTTATGGTTAAAACACTATATTAAGCTAATGCATTTAGATATTAGTCTAAATAATTCAAGGTCTTTAAAAGAAATATCAAATAAAACTGGTTAATCAAATGTAAGAAATACATCTTTTTATTCTTCAGGAAATATTTATATGGTAAGGTTGTCATTGGATTTGTGTCCAGGCTTTTTACTTAAAGTCGTGAGAGTTAGAATGGCAGTCTGCTTGCAAACGCGACCAAGATCTGCTGAAAAGCACGTACTGTGGTAAGTTCACTGTTGACATTTGACACATTATACAAACTCCGGCATTTTGTCAGACTGCTCTTCAGAACTCGTATTTTGTACTTCGCTCTTCCCTCTCTGTGGAAATATATGGATTTTGGTACACGATACTGAATTCTGAGAAAGAAAAAGGTCCTGTAGGCTGTAATTGTACTATATTCTGACATTGTTCTCTGTATGTTATGCGTTATTATAAATCTTCTTTCCCCAAAACCACATAAATAATTTACCTGCTTGTCATGAGACTGGCTGTTTCTCTGATAACATATGCATGTTGACAAGACATATTTTTGATACCTGTGTGCTTTAGTCTGGAAAATAGAGCATTGACTACATGTCTGAAACAATTCCTTTGGTTATTAGCTAATATAAACAAACATGAATTTATGAATTTATCTTGTGCTCAGAGTTTACCAGTTTACCAAGATTTGCACAGTTCTACTGAGTAATGGGTCTAATGAGTCTAATGTAATATCATAAAATAGCTGAATTATGGCTGCAGCATATGCAGCATAGAATGCACACAATGATTTTGCTGGTGATAAAATGAAGCAATGACTTCAATATCAAAATTATTTGATGTGAGATTATTTCAATTGAATGTTTTAAACTTCACTATCAATGGTGTTCAAGTTATTGCGATTAATCGCATCCAAAATAAAAGTTTTTGTTTATATAATATACGTGTGTGTGCTGTGTATATTTATTATGTATATTTAAAAACACACACATGCATGTATATATTTAAAGGGGTCATATGATGTTGCTAAAAAGAACATTATTTTGTGTATTTGGTGTAATGAAATGTGTTTATGTGGTTCAAAAAACACATTATTTTCCACATACTGTACATTATTGTTTCTCCTCTATGCCCCGCCTTTCTGAAACGTGTCGATTTTTACAAAGCTCATCGGTCTGAATAACATAATAAATATACACAGTACACACACATATATTATGTAAACAAAAACTTTTATTTTGGATGTGATTAATCGCGATTAATCGTTTGACAGCACTAATATATATATATATATATATATATATACTTAAAAAAAGTTGTAGATAATACTGAATTAACCTAAATACATTAATTTGTACCAACATAACTAGTTTGTATGGGTTAAGAAAATATATACAATATACTACAGAAATACTGGCCAGCTTTATAGAGAATAAGTGTTTCTTGTTTTCTGAAGGATCATCTGTACAGGCACCACCCAAGCCAGCACTTTATGACATTTGCGTCTTGTTTTTTTTCCTGTGGCACATTTTTTCATACGGGTTCCCGTCTCTAAAGTGCCAAGGTCAGGCTGCAGGACCCACCAGGACAAAAAACATAAAAGAAAGAATGGGGTCGTGTTTGGCCTTTATTGTCAGAGAAGCTCCCTGTTGTTTCAGGGACAGTGTTCTTTAATGATCACATCTGTGTCTCAGTGCCAGTTCACCACTTCTCATAAATGCCTTTGTGAAGCCCAGCTGCTTAGAGTCCATCCAAAACATCAGGAGGAAGGTTAACTTGAAGAGATAAAAATGGATGTTTTTCCTAGAATAATATTCAAACTTTAATTGGAATCTTTTGATTTGAAAAAAAATGTGCAATTCTGTAAAGACTTGAACAAAACTAAAAAAAGAGAAAGACAAAATCGACATAATTGTGCAAGGTACTGTGCACATTGATTTATAATAAGATCTGTGTAAGAATGTGTTCTGTATGTGTGTGTGTGTGTGTGTTTGTACTGTAGGTTCTTGCCAGTCTGCGAACAGTGAGGGGTAACGTTGCAGCTTTAACCCACGTGCAAGATAGAAGCAACAAGTGAGTCTGTAGCCGAAACACTTTCAGACAGGCAGTGAATGGAAGGATTAATAAGAGAAAGATTTATAACTGTTGTCACATGAAGTCTCTTAAATCGTTTTCCTTCATATAGGAGACTGTCAGGCACTAACCCTCAGTCTGCCTGTAAAGCAAGCCTGTCCGGTGAGTGTAAGAACATGAGCTGGTCTAGCCAAAGATGAGGACTTTTCCTTACTGTAGACCTCAGCCCCGTTTATAGATGTAAATGTTTGAACATCCGAATATTTAACATTAACGTATTAGCGATGTTCTGACATCTGAGGTTGTTTGTTTCAGATGAAGCATATCAGAAACTCGCTGTCGAGACCCTTGAAGAGCTGGATTGGTGTTTGGACCAGCTGGAGACCCTGCAAACACGGCACTCTGTCAGCGAAATGGCCTCCAATAAGGTATTTAAAGCAATATTTCAGTCAAAAGTGACATTTTGAATCATTTGCTCTTACAAGAAAATGAGATGATGTATGAGCTGTTCTTATCCATGCAGTGAAAATGTATTTATAATGACAAAAAAGCAACATAAACTGGCCATACAGTACAGGCTTTACACTATATTAGTACACTTCTCTAGCTCACAAGTCACATATGCCATCTGTGGAGCAGATTTTATGTCATAAAGTCTGTAGTTCATAGTTCAACTTTTCATTGGCTCATTTAAAAGCTATTTGTTAATTATAACTATTAAAAATCATTTTAGTTCATTGAAATAGAGCTGAAATAAAATAAAATAAAAATATAAAATGAAAAACTGATTCATCACCAAAAAAATGGTGTGGCCATATGGCAACATACTCTTTGTATTCATTTCCTTGCCACCGTCTCTTTAAGAGAACATTCTCATTTTTTTTGTTGGAAAGAGAATACCTTAGTTTAGCCAATGATGTGCTTTGGTTAAGTCACATGACATGCAGTTTTTTTTCTGTGGTGATATTTCTGACAGACTGCCATCTCATCGGTAGTTGCTGAAAGCAAATTAAAATGTCAGTAACAAACAAGGACCAATCCGTGTCACTTCCACAAAAAAATCGGAAACACCACTGTATTGATGTTATGATGACATATTCGCCTCTCAAAAAAGTTTTCATATTCATAGTCTTCCTCTCATAAGATTGCGTAATGCTGAATTTTCATGAACTGCAATGTTTTTGGTTTTATGTCAATATTTTATGATACATGATATACAGGATTATATTTGTTTTAACTGTATACATTTGTAATTTAAATAATATTCATGACAAATGTAATTCAAAAATTATAAATCATTATTCAGCAAAAAGAATGGAATAAATAAAAGCACAAGTTGTTGGAAAGTATGTATAAGGTATAAGTACTGTGTTAAAGCTTATAATTGCACCAATTGAATCAACACAAACAACATTTCTGAGGAAAAATATTAACTATGAGTAAACTTACACTTATTCTAAGTTAGATCCACTATTGTACGCTCTTGCCGTATGGCAACATATCATAAAGTACCTTAAAATAATATTTTTTCCCCCCAATTTTTTTTACAGCACTTCAAGTTAAGCCATTCTTAGAAAATAAATGAGTCAAATATATTTTTCTATAGGTCTATCATAATGCGCGCGGTAGAGGGTTAAGTTATAATTAGAATTATTTAACAAAATTTATAAAACCTAAACTAAAATTCGAATATTAATAAAATAAATATGATATATATACGTATATATATATATATATATTAATAAATACCATTTTAGTATATCAATAATACTAATTAAATAATGAATAATACTAAAATAACACTGCACACATATCATATGATTTCAAAAGACTACCGAATGAGTCATATTAACTATTTCTACGATACTCCTAGTAATAAATATACTTTAATAGATTAAATTGCCTATTAATACGTTTTTGGGTACAGAAAGATAGTACATTTTGATTTTAAGGTCTTTATGTTAATAATAACATGTCAGTAACTTATAACTCAGTTTTTGAATTAAATTCCTGTTTGATGTTGTGCATATTCCACACCCAGAGCCATGCATATAGACAGCAACAACGCAAAACAATGCCAGCATATTTCAGTACAATGCTAAAGAGAAACTTAGACGTAAGCAATGTTGGCAGAGTGGTTTCAGTTATTGCAGTGCACGAGGCATACACATCAAAAGTGTGGTGTTTCATTGCAGTGCTCCATATTCATTTTATACTATGTGTTAATCAGGGTTGAAAGTCATTTTGCTGATGCATGATTACATAACCCCGACATGCACTGTAGTGTCTGAATGAGTGTTTCCTCACACAGCTTTTGGTATGGACTCAGTTACCATGGTAACTGGGTAACAGTGTGATGAAAGTGAATATTGTGCTGTAAGGCTGATCACTGGCAGTGTGAGACACACTCATTTTCTTCATCTGCTGTTCACAGTTCTATTCATTGTATCAGTTGCTGTTGTTATTGCACTGAAATCAGTCCCATAAGTACAATAAATGGAGTGTAATAGAGTGCATTAGCGTCCGCCCACTTTCTCTGGTTTCAGAAAGTATTTTTCCCATAGGGATTTTAGCCATGAACCCATGAACCAAACTAACCAGCTCCGAGGAAAATCACAATCTTACAAAATTTGATTTGAAGCAAAACATTTATGAAAATCAGGAAAAAAATACAATGGTACGAGACTGTGTACTTAAATGGGTCCTATTATGCTCTTTTACAAAGTCTTGATTTTGTTTTGGGGGTGTACTAGCAGTACTTACCACACATTTTACAAAATTAGATGTTTTGTTAGTGGTGCTCAGAATCTTCAAATCATTTGCCATCGTCCTCAGTCATCTCTCCTACTTACTCTGTTTATGTGGTAAGTGAAATTTTATGTACTGTAATGTAACAGACAACCGTTAGCAAACGTTATTTGTTTTCCGTGCCTTTCTGAATACGAATTCACACTTCGGGCACACCCTCACCCGCTGAAAAATAACTGCATTTACTATGTACAGATAAGTGCAACGGTAATATGTATTATGTTTATTTCAAAAATTCTGAAATTCAAAAGATACTGTAAATATGCATTGCTATCAGTTTTAATAGTTATGAATTACTTTATGTATTACAAAACATGAAGCACTTCTTCTTCTTTGTCGTCATCTTGTCTGATGCACTCAACCAAGTGTTCTAACCAGGACCTCACCCCTCCCCCCACCCCCCAACCATTCGAATTTCCATAGGCGGGATTTCTTTTAATGATATTCTAATGGGCCACTTTGTGACATCACAAAACCTGGAAAACAATGCTGAAGTCCAAACGAGCTGTTCGTTGTAGTTCTTGAAAAGGGATTTTTTTAAAAACAAAATATCTCCCTTTGGAGTGGACTTTGAGATTTGTAACTTTGTAGATATTTTTTATGCCCAAACATACACACTACATACTGACTAAAATTCAAAAAGTTAAAAAGCATAATAGGACCTCTTTAACAGCTTTAGTGAGGGAAGGAACTACAATCCCATGAAGCATTGCAAATGACATTGAGCAAATTAAAAATTACAGAGAAATGTTCAACTATACATTTATCTATGGTTGTATCTATAGAAATTATATATTTTATGTTCATTGCATAAAATGCATGTCTATACAAATATTAAAGTATTTTGAGAGTGTAGGGCAGGGTTCCTCAAATCTTGCCCTGGAGGGCCAATGCGCTGCAGAGTTTAGCTCCAACCATGATCAAACTCACCTACCTGTGATTTTCTAATGATCCTGAAGACATTGATTAGCTTGCTCAGGTGTGTTTGATTAGGGTTAGAGCTATACTCTGCAGGAAAGTGGATCTCGTGGGCAAGATTTAAGAATCCCTGGTGTAGGGAGACCGACTTGATAACTCCATTCGCGGTGCTTCATGGGAGTGGGTGGAGCCAAAGATCTTGTTTGGCACTCTTTGCTCACTGCTCCCTGATTGGTGGAATTTTTGGTTACACTTTATTTTAAGGTGTCCTTTTTACAGTGTAATTATACATTTAAGTACTGAGGAATATTAATTAAGTACATGTACTTGAACTTTCCACAACATTCTAATTTATTGAGATGCACCTGTATATGGTTAGGCTTAGGGTTACTTGCATGTAATTATGCATAATTAATTGTTATTATAATAGTAAGTATATGTAACATTTGTAACAAGGACACCTTAAAATAAAGTGGTACTGAATTTTTGCATAGCATCATGGGTAATGTAGTTCCCTTTCTGTCGTTCACTCCAACGTTGTGTCGAGTGTATGACACTAGGGGTTGCTCTTGGGAGCCCAAACACCTCTGACAATGAAATTGGGTGTGCAGATTTTGCATAGCTGGTCACGCCCCGGACATCCAGTTATAAATAGGCCAGCGTGGCATCTGCTCACTCGCACTGTTTTTCGGAGCTGAATGCAGCGTCTCTCACGGAGATGTTACGATCATTCACCTCTCGATTCCTCATCGTTGGATCTAAGGCACAATCAGCGGTCTCTCCCTACTTATACACAGATAAGTGATGTGAGAGTACCCCTAGGTACTTCACCGGCGATCTCTAGAAGAGCAAATTTCCTCTAAAAGAGTACAATTTCTCTGAAAGAGCTACATGGGTGGAATTGTGTGTTTTATCATGCCTTTCCGTCCATGTGTTTCTGATTGCGGTTGGAACGTCTCGAAAGACGACCGGCACGAGCGTTGTATTCAGTGTATGGTTCGTTCCCCACTTGCGAGGCACATCCCATCGGCACGTTGCGCTCGCAGCTCGGGTTCTTCGCCAAAAGACCCAGAGTCATTGCAGCTGTTTGCCGCTCTGGTCCATCTACCTCCGGGTATGAGGCCGCAACGATGTGCACTGCAGAAGAACATGGGGAAGAGGGATTAGTTTCGCCAGGGGAATCCCCGCGAGCTTCCCGTTCTTCCCTTGCTTCGTGCTTACTGGTCGAATTTCTGGATGAGTTTGAGAGCCGTCCCTAGACAGTGGTGAATACCATTACTCAGGCCAGAGTCCCCTCGACGAGGCGGCTGTACGATCTGAAGTGGCGCGTTTTCGTGAATTGGTGTTCTTCCCAGTGGAAGGACCCTCTGAGATGTGGCAACGGATTTGTGCTCTCCTTCCTCCAAGGAGGCCTTGACAGGCATCTGTCTGCTTCTACACTTAAGGTGTACGTGACCGCGATTGCGGCTAACCACGACACCGTGGGAGGCAGATCGGTGGGGAAGCACTTGGTTATTAGGTTCCTCAGAGGCGCCTGTAGGTTGAACCCTCCGAGGTCACATCTCATTCCCTCTTGGGATCTCACTGTGGTCTTGCAGGCCTTCCAGAGAGATCCGTTTGAGCCCCTTCAGTCAGTTGAATTCAGTGCCCTCTCTATGAAGACGGCCCTCCTGACTGCGCTCACTTCTGTCAAGAGCGTGGGGGATCTCCAAGGCCTCTCCATTAACGAATCATGCCTGGAGTTCGGGCCGGCAGACTCTCACGTTGTCCTGAGACCTCGGCCTGGATATGTGCTCAAGGTTCAGACCACTCCTTTCAGGGACCAGGTGGTAACATTGCAAGCTATCCCCTTCCAAGAAGGGGACCCCGACCTGTCTCTGTTGTGCCCAGTGCGAGCCCAACGCACATACCCAGATCGCACTCAGAGTTTCAGATGTTCTGAACAGCTCTTTATCTGCTTTGGAGGACAGCAGAAGGGGAATGCTGTCTCCAGACAAAGGATCTCCCACTGGATTGTGGATGCGATCCTAACGGCCTATCAAGCCAGAGGCCTACTTTGCCCACTAGGAGTGAGGGCTCACTCTAGCAGAGGTATGGCTGCATCAGCAGCCCTGGCGAACGGGGCCTCTCTAGCAGATATCTGTAGAGCTGCAGGTTGGGCTAAACCTAATACATTTGCTAGATTTTATAATCTACGAATGTAACCAGTTTCTTCTAGAGTTCTGAACGTCAGTTCTTTGACTCAGGAGACTGGCAGGGTGTAGAGCTTGCTACCAGCGCTACTCCCCCCAGGGTAATTATGTCCTTTCAAATACTGTATTCAGTCCAGCTCAGGTTCCTTTCATGAACTCTGGACTACCCTTCCATAACATAAGCACTTTTTCTTAGCGAAGTTCGACGGAGGAACTTGCTATTAGAACTCATTACGAGGTAGGTTCCCTCAAGTGAACTCTTGTATTGGGTTAGTGCTCTACATGTAGTGGCTCCTCTTGAGGCCCCATGTGTGGATTCTCCACTGTATTGCCCCTGAGGCTCAGTGTTCCCCTAGACAGACATCTGTTGATAGGTTCTGGGTCTTGGTAGATCTCCCCTTATGCGGAGCCCACCCCAGTACCTTCCCTATGTGGTACTTCCTCTGTAAGTCCATAGGTGGATCTTCACATGTTACCTCCCCATCAGGTAGGATGTGATCTCCGTAGTGCCCTTTTCCCTAGAGGGAAAAGTCACTGTCCCAACGTTACTACAAAGACTTTTCAACTGTTATATTATGGTGAGTATTACTATGGGAAAAGTCTCCGGCTGAGGGGACCTCTGCCTCTATGGCTCTCCCGGATGTTTGGAGAGTGAGGTCTTAAGTCTTGGGCATTGGAAGATGCTGTGCAATGAAATCGGTCTTCTGGTTGCGTTTTCGTGAATTGGTGTTCTTCCCAGTGGAAGGACCCTCTGAGATGTGGCAACGGATTTGTGCTCTCCTTCCTCCAAGGAGGCCTTGACAGGCATCTGTCTGCTTCTACACTTAAGGTGTACGTGGCCGCGATTGCGGCTAACCATGACACCGTGGGAGGCAGATCATGGGGAAGCACGATCTGGTTATTAGGTTCCTCAGAGGAACCTGGAGGTTGAAACTGCCGAGGCCACATCTCATTCCCTCTTGGGATCTCACTGTGGTCTTGCAGGCCTTCCAGAGAGATCCGTTTGAGCCCCTTCAGTCAGTTGAATTCAGTGCCCTCTCTATGAAGACGGCCCTCCTGACTGCGCTCACTTCTGTCAAGAGCGTGGGGGATCTCCAAGGCCTCTCCATTAACGAATCATGCCTGGAGTTCGGGCCGGCAGACTCTCACGTTGTCCTGAGACCTCGGCCTGGATATGTGCTCAAGGTTCAGACCACTCCTTTCAGGGACCAGGTGGTAACATTGCAAGCTATCCCCTTCCAAGAAGGGGACCCCGACCTGTCTCTGTTGTGCCCAGTGCGAGCCCAACGCACATACCCAGATCGCACTCAGAGTTTCAGATGTTCTGAACAGCTCTTTATCTGCTTTGGAGGACAGCAGAAGGGGAATGCTGTCTCCAGACAAAGGATCTCCCACTGGATTGTGGATGCGATCCTAACGGCCTATCAAGCCAGAGGCCTACTTTGCCCACTAGGAGTGAGGGCTCACTCTAGCAGAGGTATGGCTGCATCAGCAGCCCTGGCGAACGGGGCCTCTCTAGCAGATATCTGTAGAGCTGCAGGTTGGGCTAAACCTAATACATTTGCTAGATTTTATAATCTACGAATGTAACCAGTTTCTTCTAGAGTTCTGAACGTCAGTTCTTTGACTCAGGAGACTGGCAGGGTGTAGAGCTTGCTACCAGCGCTACTCCCCCCAGGGTAATTATGTCCTTTCAAATACTGTATTCAGTCCAGCTCAGGTTCCTTTCATGAACTCTGGACTACCCTTCCATAACATAAGCACTTTTTCTTAGCGAAGTTCGACGGAGGAACTTGCTATTAGAACTCATTACGAGGTAGGTTCCCTCAAGTGAACTCTTGTATTGGGTTAGTGCTCTACATGTAGTGGCTCCTCTTGAGGCCCCATGTGTGGATTCTCCACTGTATTGCCCCTGAGGCTCAGTGTTCCCCTAGACAGACATCTGTTGATAGGTTCTGGGTCTTGGTAGATCTCCCCTTATGCGGAGCCCACCCCAGTACCTTCCCTATGTGGTACTTCCTCTGTAAGTCCATAGGTGGATCTTCACATGTTACCTCCCCATCAGGTAGGATGTGATCTCCGTAGTGCCCTTTTCCCTAGAGGGAAAAGTCACTGTCCCAACGTTACTACAAAGACTTTTCAACTGTTATATTATGGTGAGTATTACTATGGGAAAAGTCTCCGGCTGAGGGGACCTCTGCCTCTATGGCTCTCCCGGATGTTTGGAGAGTGAGGTCTTAAGTCTTGGGCGTTGAGAGGTTACGAGGAGGAGAGGTGCATTTGGTTGTGCCCCCGTGGACTCGTGACGCAGTTCGGCAGTTGTAGCATTTAGTATAGGGACCCCTAGTGTCGTACACTCAACACAACGTCGGAGTGAATGACAGAAAGGGAATGTCTTGGTTACGTATGGTAACCCTCGTTCCCTGATGCAGGAAACGGAGATATTGTGTCCTTCATGCCACAACTCCAAATTACCTCTGAGTGGGTTGAGACGCTTCTCGACTCCTTAGAACAGATCGAGTGAGCAGATGCCACGCTGGCCTATTTATACCCGGATGTCCGGGGCGTGGCCAGCTATGTAAATTCTGCACACCCAATTTCATTGGCCTTTTCTCAAAGATGTCAGAGGTGTTTGGGCTCCCAAGAGCGACCCCTAGTTTCGTACACTTGACACAACGTCTCTGTTCCCTCCATCAGGGAACGAGGGTTACCATACGTAACCGAGAAGTTTTTCACCACAAATTCAAATTCCTATTTCACATAATTCTTTTAAAAATAAGTTTAATTAATGCAAACAGATGGATCCAACAAAAGCACATACAATCGATTAACAACCTCGAAGCTAGTCTCTTTAAAGTTTTATCAGTTGTTGTTAAAAATGAATTTCCCTATGGAGATTTTATTTCCCAAACTCAAGAGAATATAGAATATAATGAGTGTGATTATAGGCTATATGAATATAATTGAGAATATAATGTTTCTAATGTTTTATTAATTTTATTTGTTGTATTATTTTTAGTTTAAAAGAATGCTCAACAGGGAACTTACTCAGCTGTCGGAGACCAGCCGGTCAGGAAACCAAGTGTCAGAGTTCATAGCAAGCACAATTTTACGTGAGTGACTTTGTCATTTAAATGTAATTTACAAATTTAGGAACTGGATTTATGATAACATGGTGTGTTCAGCATTAATTCAGAGGAATATATGTAGTATTTTTCTTCTGTTTTCACAAATTGTGTCTTTCCTTTCAATCTAAATTTAGCTCAGGGCTTTTTACGTACTCTGTGTTTATGTTGCAGAAAAACAGCATGACGTGGAGATTTTGTCAGCAGCGTGTAAGGAGGAGAAAAAACGCCGTCCGATGTCTCAGATAAGTGGAGTGAGAAAACTGAGCCCCAGTCCGAGTCTCCCTCCAACATGCACCCCTCGATTTGGTGTCAACACACAACATGAGAGCCTCCTGGCCGAGGTGTCCCTTCATTTCACTCTTTGTCAGTTCTACTGTAGATCAGAATTGCAAGAAATAAACTAAGAATTGCAACCGCCTATTACCAAATCACAATTTTTAAATTCGCCTTTTAATTTTTGATTCCATGGTGGAAATAAAATGTAAAAAAATACAGAATTGCAAGATGTAAACTCGGAATTCAGAGGGAAAAAGTCAGAATTGTGAGAAAAAAAGTCAGAATTATCAGTGCTTATGACTGACTTTTTTCTCAGAACTGCAAGAAACAAAGTCTGATTTATTTATTTATTTTATTCTATAGAGGAAACAGACTTCCATAAAGAATACACCAGTGGGTCTCACCCTTTTTGACTCTAATTGTCCACAGCAATATAAACATATATTAATATATGTATGTATGTATTCTTTTTTTTTTTTACTCACAATTTCTACCTGATAAAATAATTTAGAGCTTGTAATAACTAGAAACATGCATAATAAATACTCATTGATTTTTAAGGTTTTATTCATTTACACACCTTTCACAAGTCACTCTTTTTGTGTTCATTTTAATTTAAGTGAATTTTTATATTAGTCAAAAATCATGGTTCCTGGTTTGTTCAGAAAACAAGCAAATAACACTTCCCACTGAAAAAATAAATAAAAATGAAATAAGTAATTTTGTTTAAATACACACACACACACACACATATATATATGAAATATATATTTATTATTTAGTAATTGTTTTAGACGCAAAGTCGGCAACACCAAAGCTCCAAAAGTATCAAAAAATGTATTTTTTAAAAAGACTGTCGCGATAAAATAATTTAGAGCTTGTAATAACTAGAAACATGCATAATAAATACTCATTGATTTTTAAGGTTTTATTCATTTACACACCTTTCACAAGTCACTCTTTTTGTGTTCATTTTAATTTAAGTGAATTTTTATATTAGTCAAAAATCATGGTTCCTGGTTTGTTCAGAAAACAAGCAAATAACACTTCCCACTGAAAAAATAAATAAAAAAGAAATAAGTAATTTTGTTTAAATACACACACACACACACACACACACACACACACACACACACATATATATATGAAATATATATTTATTATTTAGTAATTGTCAAACTAATTTTTGTGAAATATTTCGATAAAGTATTTGTGATCTTTCTTTAAATTACATCAAATTCAGAGATTCATAGTGCTATAGTATTATTATTGTTGTTATTATTATTATTAGTGCTCTTCAATGGAGTAGAATGACTTGTCTTTTTCACTCTAGGAGCTTGAGGACATCAATCGATGGGGTATAGATATTTTTAAGATAGCAGAGTTTTCTGGGAATCGGCCACTGACAGTCATAATGTACACCATTTTTCAGGTAAGATTTTTGTCTAGAAATATCTCTTGACATAAATGTTCCACTGCTTTGCTATTGTATTTCCTACTATTTATAAATAGCCTTGTATAAAACACAATAGATACATAGTAGAACTGCCAGAAGAAAAAGCTCATCATTTTATCATTATGTAGCATTAACTGAAAATAGCTTACTTGTTTATTTTTACGCTGACTTTAACTGCAGATTTACCTGATATTTGATTACTGCATGTTTCTATACTCTGTAATTCTCAGGAGCGAGATTTGCTCAAGACCTTTAAGATTCCATCGGACACCTTCTTAACTTTCCTCATGACTTTGGAGGATCACTACCATGTGGACATGGCCTACCATAACAATACCCACGCAGCAGATGTTGTGCAGTCCACACACGTTCTTCTCTCCACACCTGCCCTAGAGGTCTGCATGGTTGATCACACACACACATAGTGCTCATGGGAAGTGACCTATAAACAAACCAGCATATATTTGTTTGTTTGTTTTGTTTTGTTTTGTTATGACTTTCAGGATGTGTTCACAGACCTTGAGATCATGGCTGCTCTGTTTGCGAGTGCTATTCATGATGTTGACCATCCAGGATTGTCTAACCAGTTCCTCATTAACACAAGTATGACTTTTTAATGACAAACCATTCAAATAAATCCCAAATCCATTCACTTAGGCTCTGTCGCCAACACAAACACAGTTATTTAAAACTAGTGATACACCAAAATGAAAATTCTGGGCCAAAACCAAAAATTCCGGATGCACTGGGCTGAAAATTGAAAATAAATGTTATTTAATGGGGTCATATGATGCGATTTCAAGTTTTCCTTTCTCTTTGGAGTGTTACAAGCTGATCGTGCATAGATGAGATCCCTGAAGTTGCAAAGACTAAAGTCTCAAAACCAAAGAGATGTTCTTTATCAAAGTTAAGACTCTGCCACGCCCCCCTAAAACGGCTCGTTCTAACACGCCCCCACATATCTAGGTCACTATGTGGGAATATTTGCATAATGCGCCCAAATGTGCACGCAAAGAAAGGCGTGGTTTCAGTAACCGCAGTTAGTGTTGAAGCAGCATGTCAGGAAGACGCTGTGTGTTTCTAGGAGAAAGCAAAAGCACTTTATTTGGCCTTCCGAAAGTAGATGCATTTAGGAATCTTTAAGATCACTTACAACAGAACAGCAATGCATTTTATGGACGACCGTTTCGTGAACCGAGGTAATTCTGACTTTGCTATGACAATCTGGCGCTTCTGAATCAGCTACTGTATTGTTATTAGTTTAAGTATTTGCTATTGACTGTTAAAATTTTTTTTTCAAAAAATTTATTCTGTTACACCAAATACACAAAATAATGATCTTTAAAAAAGCATCATATGACCCCTTTAATAATCAATTAAATTATCAAATGTATTTATTAAGCAACACTCAAAAACATTTAAATTGCACATAAGTTTTTATGCCTTTATTTTTTTTTGATAACAGAATTATGTTTCTACCTTTTTTGTTAAAATATAAACATTTAAACAGTGGCTGTAAAACATTTTTCATGACAATTAAATAATTTTCAAAAATACATTAAATAATTAAGACAACAGGTTAAGTAAAAATATAACAAATATGTAATATAGTGCATATATTCCACAAAATGTTCTTCTCTATCGTTTTCTTTTTTAGTTTATGGACTTTTAATATCTTTCCTGAGGTAAATATGACATTACGTGACATTGTTTACAAGCTGTTTTATTGACGTCTTTATGCAGTGGAAACACTGATTTTCACACGCCATTAAAAAGTGTCAAAACCACATGTATTGTTTGTTTCATGATACAATTGAGAATATGAAAGCTGAGACTATGTTACATATTAAAGGGGTCATATTATGTTGCTAAAAAAAACATTATTTTGTGTATTTGGTGTAATGAAATGTGTTTATGCGGTTTAAGATTAAAAAAACACATTATTTTCCACATACTGTACATTATTGTTTCTCCTCTATGCCCCACCTTTCTGAAACGCATCGATTTTTACAAAGCTCATCGGTCTGAAAAGCGAGGTGTGCTCTGATTGGCCAGCTATCTAGTGCGTTGTGATTGGCCAAATACCTCAAGCGTGTGATGGAAATGTTACACCCCTACCATATTGTGATGACGTGTCCCGGCCGGAGCGACGAGACAAAAACATTAAAACCCATTATAAACGAGGCATTTGTTGCATCCAGTGGGGACATAATTGCGTATTATAAGGACTTGTACTGTCTTTTTTTCAGTTGCATCGTGCTGCGTAAACATAAAACCATGTCTGCATTTGTGATCGGAGAAATGACAAACAACAAGCGCTACTCTACACTGCTCAAAACTCGCGTTTGAATCATCAGTGGCAAATCCTTTAAATGAAAACGTACTTACAGTCTTTGAGTCAGAACAGCCGGCATTGTAGTCTACTCTCCCAGGATCAGGAAACAGTCCTCCATAAAATGCGCTGCACACATCTGAATATTTGGGTTGAAGTGTTCTGGAACAGTGTTGTAAATACAACTTAACCACTGATTTCTAGTCGTGTCCTCTTTTGGAAGGCCAAACAAAGTAGTTTCACACGGCGGGCCTGAGTGAGCGGAGGCGGGCGGGCTTGCGAACGGCACGGCCGGTGGATTCGACGAAGGAGCGCCTGGCGGGCTTGTGGCAATCACATGTGACGACCCCGGGCTGGACTCCTCTTCGTCCACGGTGAAAGCCGATCCAGCGATCCACAGCGCGAAGTTGATGTATTTCCTCAGCAACCAGCACGGATCAGCTCCAGGCATGACGAAGTGGATATCGTCCTCTTTTGGAAGGCCAAACAAAGTAGTTTCGCTTTCACAACTAAACACAGAGAACACGAACACACACGCGTCTTCACGACATGGTGACAGCAACAATACTACAGCGAGAATAAAAGTTACGCCTTCTTTCTTTGGCGTTATGCAAATCTTCCCACATTGTGACGTAGACATGTGGGGGGGTGTTAGAAGGTGTGGTTGACTCTTAACTTTTATAAAGAAAATCTCTTTGGATTTGAGACTTTCTTTGCAAGTCTCAAAGAAATTGAGATCTCTTTGCAACTTTACAGATCTTCTTTATGCACCAAGAGCTTGTAACACTTCAAAGAGAAAGGAAAAATTGAAATCGCATCATATGACCCCTTTAAAAGTGACAAAGCACAAATCTTATTGCGATTTTTGGATGGTAGGCACGCTACAGATAATGTTTAGTGAAGTTCACACATCAGCAGAAAACAGCGCAAAATAAAAGACTGATCTGGAGATTTAAGAGTCCATATCAGTATCGATTCAAAACACGAAATCGATATTGTTAATCCAGCACTAGCATCCACACAGCTGACATGTTTACCTGTTGTTTAACCACAGTTTAAATAAACTAGACACTGACAATGTCAAAACGCACCATCAGAGAAACGCTAATTCAACGACACTGATTCAGTCAATAATATTGGCCCTCCAGAATTGTTAAAAACTCCCTGTTGCCGAAAATTCAGTGCATCAGTACTAAAAACCCAGCGGGACCTTAGCAGGTTGTTTTTCTCTTCACTCTTTCAGACTCTGAGCTCGCTCTCATGTACAATGACGCCTCTGTGTTGGAGAACCATCACTTGGCTGTGGGCTTCAAGCTTCTCCAGGAGGAGAACTGTGATATCTTCTGCAATCTCAGCAAGAAACAACGACAGTCCCTACGACAGATGACCATAGATATGGTGAAGCCTTTACACGTTTATTACGCAGCTCTCTGAAATACTTGATTCTGATTGGTCAGCCACAACATTCCGGGGTTTGTTATTCGCCAACAGCTCGGAGTGTTGTGGCTGACCAGGAAAGACATGCTCATCTGGATATTTTTAGACTGTCAGTTCTTTCACATCTCTCATATCACATCGCTGCACTCTCGTTCGTTTCATTTAAACACATCTGCCATCATCTTGCGCCTCAGTTATCGATTGTATTTACTGTAAAACAAAACCAGAGGACTTCAGTATTAATAGTAGGCCTGCATTGAAGTGTTCATCTTGTTGCTAGAAAGATTGTTTTGTACACTGTAATGAATTTAAGATAATAAACAGGTAGGAAACTCATACAAGTTTGGAACAACTTGAGGGTGAGTAAATTATGACAGAATTTTCATTTTTGGGTAAACTGTGCCTTTAAGAAAAATGTAAAACAGTTAATGGTTTATTTCACAACCATAACCAGATGTCTGGTAGTAATGATGTATGAGCGAATGACTGTTTCTAAATGATTCATTGAGTTAATGAGTGATCTGTGACTCATTTGTGAATCAGACTACTGCGGTGTGTCTTTCTTGCTTTATTTCAAAAGACTGAATGACGTGGAAAAAAGCCACAAAGTTTGAACCCTGATAAAAACATATGAAGTAAAACAAACCTTTCTAAAATGTCACATTTCAAAAACAGTTTTTAATGCTTCTAATATCAGATTTCCTGTCATCTCTCCAGGTATTAGCCACTGATATGTCCAAACACATGAATTTCCTGGCTGACCTGAAGACATTGGTGGAAACTAAAAAAGTGACCAGTCTGGGAGTCTTGCTGTTGGACAACTACTCCGACCGAATACAGGTACTGCAGTCTCACTCTAGCAACATACACTACAATTCCTTACTAAACAACTCTATTTAGGTCTACTTTTGGATGGCTAGTCAACTATTTATTGGCTTTTCAGCCCTATTTGAACAGCTAAATTATAAAAAAATCTTTCTTTTCTTGGAAAGGTGCTTCAGAATATGGTTCACTGCGCAGACCTCAGCAACCCCACAAAACCTCTGGAGCTCTACAGACAGTGGACAGATCGCATCATGGTGGAGCTCTTCAGACAGGGGGACCGTGAGCGTGACAAGGGCATAGACATAAGCCCCATGTGCGACAAACACACAGCTTCTGTGGAAAAATCTCAGGTATGATTATGTCTCTTTTAGGGGTTTGCAAGCTGGGGTTTGGGAAGGTCACAAGGGGGTGCTGCAAAAAATTTAGAGAAAAAAATGAAAAGATTACAATAATTTTTTTAAGGCTGTCAAAAGTAATGTGTGTACTTACGATATTAATAAAATATGTTGTGTAAATATAGAAGGAAAATAAAAAGTATTTTCTGATAACTCTTTTAATAATTTGAGAAATTACAAAAACCAAGTCTTTGTAATGTCACATTTCATATTTTCTCACACTGTATAAATGGGTTTGTAAGAAAAAAATGCATTTAGTTTTAATAAATACATTAATAAACAGTAGAATATGCATGTAAATAAAAAGCATGTTGAGATACTGTTTTTTACTAAGAAAAATATCACTTATTGTTTTTTCTCACACTGTCATTACATGAAAAAATATAGCTGTATAAAATTGAGAGAGAGAAAAATGTGAAATATTAAAAAAAATATTTTTTACAACTGTCAAAGTTAATATGTACATTTAAGATGTTAATAAAAGATGTTTAATATAATGACTCAACATTCACTAAATTTCATGAAATAATGACATGAATATTATTATTATTCTATTATTTTCAGTAGTTTTTTTTTGGAAGAAAATTCTGAATTTAGTTTTGTTAATAAATAAATAAACAGTAGACTTCAGATGTAAATTAAACAAATTTTATGAATCTGTTTTAATAATTAGCAAAATGACAGTATAAAATCCAGTTATTTAAAAAATCTTCACGGTATTACTTAATATTTTTCTTAAACTGTATAAATAGGTGTTTATAAATACAAAATCTCTAGCTGTAAACTGAGAGAAAAAAATATTTTTCACGGCTGTCAGAGATAATATATGCATTTAAGATATTAATAAAAAGATGTTATGAAATTGACATTCACTTAATTTCTAAAACACTAAAATCGTGAGCTCATGAGATAAATTGTGAGTTTTTCATTGTTAAAAATGAATTCCTACTACTTGTTTCGCTTCTGTTTCAGTTTTTATAACCATTTCTTACTATGTGTAAGTAAGTTCTTGTTTTTTAGCATGTGTGTTTGGCAGTGTTATTTTTTAGGATTACTGATAAACTACTGTCATTTGATTTGTATTATTATTATTTATTTTAATTTTAGTTACATTATGTCTGAATAGGTCTTTTATTAAGTTTTTAGTTTTATTTAATTAGAGTTATTTTAATACTTAAACTAAATGGAAATGAAATAATATATATATATTGAATTTATAAATGGGTATGTACGTATACAGTATATATGTACAGTGGGGGAAAAAAGTATTTAGTCAGCCACCAATTGTGCAAGTTCTCCCACTTAAAAAGATGAGAGAGGCCTGTAATTTTCATCATAGGTATACCTCAACTATGAGAGACAAAATGCTTTTAGTTTTGGATCTGTTTTAGTTGTTTTAATACTACAATTGATTGCTTCTGTTGTCCTCATTTGTAGGTCGCTTTGGATAAAAGCGTCTAATAAATGACTAAATAAAATTAAAATAAATACAATTTAAAAAAATCAGCATTTAGTTGCCTGTCCTTTACTATACTGTACTAATGACGACTGTGTTTAATCAATGTTTCTTAAGGTGGGATTCATCGATTACATTGTCCATCCTCTATGGGAGACATGGGCTGATCTGGTCCATCCCGATGCTCAGGACATTCTAGATACATTGGAGGACAATCGCGAATGGTACCAGAGCATGATCCCACGCAGCCCGTCGCCCACCCCTAAAGAGCAGGACTCACGGGCCACACTGGGCATCGCAGGCTCGGCCGGGGAAAAGTTCCAGTTTGAGCTGACTCTGGAGGAAGAGGACGGAGAGCTAGAGGCTGAAGAAGAGCACACAGATAAAGACCGATCAAGCACTATGATGGACCCCAGGCATGCGCAGACGTCCCCTCGCGGAGTTGCTCCTGTTTTAGACAGCAGAGAAAGAGAACTGGACCAAGAAGCGACCAGCGTATCCATCCTGCAGTTGGAAACTTAACAAGGCCCAGTACTAACAGTGCTGTGTTTCTTAGTTGCACTTAGAAATATTTTGGGGTTGAGTAGAACAACCATAAACTAAAAAGACATTGGTTTACCTGACCAAATAGGCCTGTATTTTAAAGCTATATTGTGTCCCAGACACAAAGTTTTGCATAAGGACTAAGGGCCGAAGGTGTAGATGAATGTTTTCGTAGTCTCATGTGAGAGTCGCATAGAGAAACATGAGTCTTCCCTTGAGTGACTGTCCATGCCAACTGCAGAGGAAAGCTAGATTTACTCATTATGTGAACTTTTTCACTCGACTCTAGGATATTTATTATCTTGAACCTTTTTAATAATGGATAACTTAATGCTTTTTTTGCCACTGAGAAATAACTTAGTCGAATGAAACGGTACAGTTGCGAGAAATATTAAGGCAAGACACCACAAGTGAATGGAGTAAAACATATTAACTAATAGATCACCATACTTCTCCAGCTGATTAATCACAGTACATTAGTAATAATAATAATAATTTTAATGTTATGTTAAAATATGTAAATGAAGCATTATATAATTAAATGATGCACTAATTTGCTTACATTTCCAGAACAAAAATCAGAACATTGATTCAAAGTTCTTAATCTGTTGTAAAAACATTTCTCTGTAAAGACTTGATAGAGTTTTTGCAGAGGGGATTTTGGATTTCTCTTTTCATCACTCCATAAATCAGAAAATTCTGTTAACAGCCAGAAAATAAATAAATAAACTCAACATGTTTTTAGAAATATGTATAAATATAAATAAGGCTATTACAGACTGTAAAGCTTAGTGTATGTACTGTAAGTGATACTAAAGTGAACATTTCTGGCTCAGTGTTCAAAAATATATTTTGTAATTGAAATCTACAGACATAAAAAGATCAAATGTAATAAATAAACACTTAAATCTGTATTTTGGATGTTTTCTTTCCACTAGTCTGAAATAAAAAATGTAATAATAAAATTAAAAATTAAATACATGTTATATGGAAGCAAAATGTAAAACAAACAAACAGTGGTTTTGCTTGTAGTGTCTTGCCTTAACAGGTTAGCGATAAGATTGTGATTGTTAACAACCTCAGGATAATGTTGATTTCTTTTTAATGTAGCAAGACTCCAAAGTGCAGTCACTAAACTATCTGTTAATAATCTTGTTTTGAACAAATAAGAAAAAATTTAATCTAAAAGCCAAAACATTGGGCTCATTATTAGACGACCGTACGGAGGATCCCTTTACAAGCGTCTTTGTACTGAAATACCTTTATACCTCTTGACACATTAGCACTATGTAGACATAATGATCATATCGATAGAAACAGGGTTGATATTTTAACTGATTTATGAATAAACTCAAATGATGACAAATGTAAACTCCCCTAAACTCGAATCAGAGTTTTACAGTGATTTACTCTGCTGTGCCCATGTTAGAGATTGTAAAATTGGAGATTGCATCCACTGGGTGCTATCAAGAGCTGAAGTGGATCCCACATCTGGTGGATTTAAACAGGAAGTTCTGGTCTAGATCAGCACAAACAACCCTCACATAAAGGGCTGTGGCTAACTGATCCTTATAAGATCCTGTTCTCATATTGTCATCAATTTCAGAGATCTTTGCCTCAATATATTCCATAAATATGAACCTGTTTATATACAGTGAGAAGCATGCTTTACAAAAGAGATAGGAGAAATTACATATAGGAGGAGAAGTGTGCAATTTTTTTTATTATTTTAATTTTAATATAGTATACTAAACTGGGGTCAGAGAAAATTGTGTGCCAAATTGACCAAATTTAAAATTACTATTTTATTATAAATTCTTTGAATGGTTGGAAATCGTGAGATTAATCACAATTATTGTTTGGGTAGTGCATATGTAATCATTTTGCTATACATAAAGAATATTTTATTTATTGGGGTTTGACTACCTCTTTTTCTGACCAATCACAGATGGGGATGTGTTTGTGGAAACCCGTTTGAAAATGATTATTTTCATATACAGTAGCCCAGAAATGAGACACTTCATCTTTAGTTTGTTAAGAACATGGAACCATGATACATAATTATTTTATAATTAAAAAAGATTCCCTACTTAAAGGGTTAGTTGACCCAAAAATGAAAATTAGGCTGTGTTTTACTCACCCCAGAGCCATCCTAGGTGTTTATGACTTTCTTCTTTCAGACGAATCCAGTCAGAGTTATATTAAAAATGGTCTTTGATCTTTCAAGCTGTTTAATGCCACTCAGCGGGTGTTGCATTGCTTCTGTCCAAAAGAACTTAAATAAAAATCGCCCATCCATAAAAAAAAAGTGTCTCACACGGCTCCCGGGGGTGAACAAAGGCCTTCTGTAGCGAATCCATGCGTTTTTGTAAGAAAAATATCCATATTCAATACGTAATAATCACTTTAATCGAGCTAGTGCCAACAGTTGTAGATGGACGCAGCTCCAGGAGGATGACGCAAGATGTCGGCGTTGCGCATGCGCCGGTTAGTCTCGTGAAAACCAACGTTTGTTTACAGGAGCAAAGCAAGCAAAGTTTCCTTACTTTAGCAAAGGAAAACCAGTCTCCTCTTGGCTTATATCGAAATCCTCCGACATTCTTCTTTACAAATCCTCGTTTTGTACTTCTAATTAGTGACCGTTGTTTTGTTTTGATCTCTCTCCTGCGCTTCCGCGTTCGTCACTTCTGAGCGGCACATGCGCAACGCTGACCTGATACGTCATCCGCCCAAAACTGCTTCCGTTTACAACAGTGAGTGCAAGCTAGATTAAAGTGATTATTACGTTTTGAATATGGATATTTTTCTTACAAAACCGCATGGATTCGCTACAGGAGGCCTTTGTTCACCCCCCAGAGCCATGTGAGATGGGTTTTTTTATGGATGGGCGCTTTTTATTTAACGTCTTTTGGACTGATGCATGCAACACCCGCTGAGTGGCATTAAACAGCTTGAAAGATCAAAGACCATTTTTAATATAACTCCGACTGGATTCGTCTGAAAGAAGAAAGTCATAAACACCTAGGATGGCTCTGGGGTGAGTAAAATACAGCCTAAATTTCATTTTTGGGTGAACTAACCCTTTAAGAGTAGTCAGCAGTGCTGAAAAGAATCTGTAGCCAGATTGATGCTAAAAGTGCCATTTCATCCAGTAGCCTTGGCCACACTCGTTCTCAGAGATCAGAAAAACCAGTGTAGAGCCTTAAAGCACATCCCTTTAGCTTCAGTGCCATTACAGCAGTGACTGTGAAACATTCATAGTGTCTGAAATGAATTGTGCTGTATGATATTAAAAGAACTATGTCTTCTTCTCTGTAATAATGTGTAGTAAATTTATATGCGTCTTCTGTATGTCATATTACTGACATTGTTAAAGATATTTGTTCAGTTTGTTTACAGGTCGAGGTCACATATGTTTCAGATCAAGTTGGTTTATCAGTGTTTCTGTTCTCCACTGTCAGAGCCAAAAATACTCAATTTTTAATTCAGATTGTTCTGAATAGCCAATAAAAATAATTAAATAAATAATATGGGGTTTTAAGCAATCATTCATAAATGAATCATTCATAAAGACCAGAAATGGGTACAAATTTGGCTGGATAGCTTTGACAATGCTAATGCTAACCACGTCCCTCCAGTTATTACAGGCCTCTACTGGTTTGATTGGCTATGAGGAGTATATTTTGGTCCATTTTTCTGGAAAATAAAAAATGTAGGTCATTTTAAATACATATCAATTAGGTCTTCAACGTCACACTAATATACAACCTACAAACTAACAGGTATTAAATAAAAGCCACAAAACACTCATTTAAATTTTTTTCGGGACGTGTAACGTTGCTTAAAATATCGTAATTTGCGTTAATATTAATTTAAACACTAGATGGCTCTAAAAGCGCATTGATGCAATTTCTCCTACCCTTGTTGCATTGTTTTTCACTGAATAATTTACTTAGTTGCAGTATAATAATAATACTTTTTTATTAGCTTACATATAATACATATATGTAATATAATAGTAAATAATATTTTGAGGATATATGCTTTTGTCAAGAAATTAAATTACTGCGTTGTACACTTTTTCAGGATTGGCATGTCACCATATTCTCATTTGTTGAGATAGTGAATTGGTGGGTTTTTGTTAAATGTGAGCCAAAATCATCACAATTAAAAGAACCAAAGACTTAAACTACTTCAGTCTGTGTGCATTGAATTTATTTAATACACGAGTTTCACAATTTGAGTTGAATTACTGAAATAAATTAACTTTTCCACGACATTCTAATTTATTGAGATGCACCTGTATACACGTTATTCTGTGGATCACTTCAGTTTTATTGTAATTGCATGGAAATGAGCAACCTCCACATTTTTTTTTATTCCTTTTGTGTTTTACAGAATTGAAGGAATTTTCGTATTTCATAACATTAAGTGGGCCGTCAAAATTATGATTGAAGACATGTTAAATATCACAACTGACTTGGCAATTGTTACACTCTAGAAATATAAGGTCAAGCACATTGCATTGTGGGACACGGTATCGAACAGTCTGTTCGGTTCTGTTGTGTACTGTGCACAGTATGCATGCTATGTAATGTAAAAATAGCAAGCATATGGTAGTGTGATCCGACTCTGGTTGGAAGTGTGAATACAGACTCTTGTGATAGAAGTCTCTCATGCTGTGATGAACAGCAATGTTTAAGGTGAAATGTCAGCTTTGAATCTCTCTTTCTCTTTTATATTGGTGTATTTATGTTTGAGTTAGAGAGAGGCTATGTATGTTGTGAATGGAATGGTAGTGTTTTGTTTTTTAATAAATACTTTGTGTATGTAAATATACTGTACTGTATAAAAAAAACAGTACTTTAAAAAAAAACAATGCATTATCTGATAAAGTATTATCTGTATCAGATTTCTATTTCAAATAAATTGTTCTTTTGACTTGATCGATTTATCAAAAAATCCTGGGGGAAAATTGTTTCCACAAAAATATTATTCAGCACAACAATGTGTCTTGAGCAGCAAATCAGCATATTATAATGATTTCTGAAGGATCATGTGACACTGAAGACTGAAGTGATGCTGAAAATTCAGCTTTGCATCGGAGGAATACATTTAGTTTTTGCTGTATTTCTGATCAAATAAATGCAACTTTTGATAGCATAAAACACTTAATTCAAACACATGGAGAAAAAAAAGGTACAGAGTTTGAACAGTAGTATTTGTCTTTGGCGGTCTGATAAAACAATGAATCAAGGTTAAAGGCATACAATTGAATCTAATATTATCTGTGGTTAATGACACTGAAAATGAAAAGTCAAGTTGAGTGCATTGTATTATGGGATACAGTAAGATACACATTATGTTTCATTGAGTACTGCACATGTTGGTATAGAAGGTCATACAAGTA